GGATGCTAGGATGCAAGCCGGCAGAAACACCTATGGACACAACTATCAAACTGGAAGAAAGTGACGGTAGTGCACCAAGTGATAAAGGGACATATCAACGTCTTGTGGGAAAACTCATTTATCTTTCTCATACAAGGCCAGACATCGGCTTCTCTGTTAGTGTGGTCAGTCAATTCATGAATAATCCAACCGAAAAACACATGACTGCTGTGATCAGAATATTGAGGTACCTAAAAAGGACACCAGGAAAGGGTCTCTTCATCCAAAGAACAACAAATAGAAAAATTGAGATTTTTTCAGATGCAGATTGGGCAGGTTCAGTGACTGATCGAAGATCAACTTTTGGCTATTGTTCGTTTGTTTGGGGGAAAGCGGTTACATGGCGAAGCAAGAAACAGTCAGTGGTAGCCCGTAGTAGTGCTGAGGCAGAATTTCGTGCTATGGCACTAGGTGTCTGTGAGGGAATTTGGTTGAACAGGCTGTTAGAAGAATTACGGGTTCCATCTGAGCATCCCATGGTTTTATACTGCGACAACCAAGCCGCCATCAGTATAGCTAAGAATCTGGTTCATCATGATCGAACTAAACATGTGGAGATAGATCGACACTTTATCAAGGAAAAGATTGAAGAAGGAGTTTTTGAAGTCAGCTACACTCCAACAAACTGTCAAAAGGCTGACATTCTCACAAAAGCTCTTGCTCGAGTTAACTTCGAAGATCTGACGAAAAAATTGGGATTGATTAACATCTACAACGTAGCTTGAGGGGGAGTGTTGGAAATCAAGCTATTGTTAATATAATAATACCAGCTGTATGCTTATATCATTAATATATATTTAATATATATTAGTTAGTGCTTCTCCATCAGATGCTTTGTTAGTGCTTCTCTATCATATGCTTAGTTGTAGTGTTTTGCTTAGTTATATAGGTAGTGCCTTCTCATCAGATGCTTCGCTTTCGGCTGCTTTTTATTTCTATATGTGCTCTTTCATGCTGTAGTATCATAATGATGTTGTATCTGCTCTCCTATATAATGGAGCCTTCTCTTCAGGTTTAAAACACATTTTTGAATTACAGAGCGTATTAGCTCTTTCAATCACTCTCTCAGTATTTCTTTCACCAGTATATGATTTACTACCTCTGGAGGGAAAAAAGTCATAATTGGTGGCTCTCTCCATTTGTGAGCTTGAGGATTAAGAGATGGGTAACCTTAAAATTTTGGAAAAAAACAAGCTATTTGTCAGCTACACAAAGGATTGGGAACTGTTGGAATCCATTGATCCTCGAAAGGGTTAATTGAGTTTCCATCACCCACCACCCACATTAGTCCCTTTTTAATCAACTCCCTTCCCCACATTATACTCCGCCAACGATTTATTTTGTTTAAATATTAAAAAATGTTTAAGACTTCCTTTTCCCTCACCCCTTTGACCCCCTTTCTTTTTTGATTGGCTACTTTTTTTTTTTACTTTTTTTTTTCCTTCTCCTTCAATCACTGCCTACTACGTGTGTGTGGGGTTGTGGAGATAATAATTGGAGAGGGTCTCCATCAATGCTCTAAATATTAATCTCAAACTTTTATAAAATTACTATAATGGGCAAGCTAAACGGACAATTGAACCAATTTGAAAGTGTAATTTAAAGACTTTTAGAAAAATTACAAAATAACCCCAACATTTAATCATTATAATAAATTATGCACTAAATTCTTAGTTTCCTCAATCAATTCACACACTTTGGCCTCGTTTGGGAACATGCTAATTTAATAACTTTTTGACTATTTAGCTAAAATATGAGTTAAAAAAAACTAAGTATGTTTGGGATGACTTTTTGGCTTTTTACGAAAATATGTGCAAAAAGTTGAGAGAAAAGAGAATTTTTGACTTTTTGGTATGAATTGTTGGCTTTTTGGCTAATTTAGTAACTTTTTGACTTTTTGACTAAATCAATCGCTTCCCAAACGAGGCCTTTGTCTATTATTTGGTAACTTGTCTAGCTATTTGAGATACTATGGGTGTTTGGTGTAACTTAAAAAAACTTATTTCAGCTTTTAACTTAATTTAAGTTGAAATAGTGTGTTTGGTGTAACTTACCATGTAGTAACTTCTAACTTATTGCAACTTAAGGCTTGGTTTGGGATATACTAAATAATTTAAAAAGTCAAAAAGTCACTATCCTATTTAAGTCACATCATTTTATTTATATCACATCACCTCTCTAGCACATCATATCAAACCCAATCCAAATCCAATCCATATAAATCAATAAAGTCAAAAAATATATTTTTTTATAACATTTCAAACCAACCATAAATATAAGGAAAAAAGTTGATTTCAAAAAGTATCTCAAGAGATGCTTTTCAAATTTAGATTATGAGCAATGCTACGTCGCTCGAAAACAGGCCCCCTAAATCCCCCTAAAGGTAAAAACGACGTCGTTTTTGCCTTCTTTTTTTTGTTTTTTTGTTTTTTGGTTGAATCAGAAACGAAGAAGAAGATGGAAGAAGAAGAAGGAGGAGGGAGGAGGGAGGAGGAGAGGGAGGAGGAGGGACTGGAGGGGGAGGAGGGACTGGAGGGGGCCCAACAAATGGGGCGGAGGCGGAGGCGGCAGAGGCAGGGGCTGCGAGGGGCGGGGCTGCGACGGCGGACCTGCGGAGGCGACGGCGGAGGCGAGGCTGCGACGATCTGGCGGAGGCGACGGCGGAGGCTGCGACGATCAGGCAGAGGGCTGCGACGGCTGAGACCTGCCTCCTCTTCCCCTCTCTTCTCTTTCCCCTCTCTTTCTCTCCTCTGTGATTTCGGGGGATTCGGGGGAAAAAAAATTAGGGGGACAAATCATTTTCCTTTCTATATTCTATATTTTTGGGCAATCGATACAAACTTGGCAAATCCATCTTGTACAACTGTACATTGTGTCAAATCCTTGTGAGTTTTGAATTGTATCCTGGAATCGTTTGTGTTCATTAGAACCTACACGGAGGGAGCGCATAACAACTTTAGAACATCGTCTTTGACGTGCCTCTCATCATTACATAGGCTATTTTCTGAAGCTTCTTTTTCTTCTTCAGTATTTTTGTTTTATATATGTATATTTATTCTTATCAAACTGTATAAAATCAATTTTAAAATTCTGTTTTATTTAATATCATTATTCTACAAAATTAATTTAGAAAAATTGTTGTTCAATTCTCACAACAATCTAAAGTCGTTATACTATAAAATGCTTAATCTTTTCATTATTTGTATTTTACAATTTATCTTCTTGGTCTTGAACAGAAACCGTTAAAAAAATAAAAAATTCTGAAATTAATGTTCGCCGTCAATCCAGTAACATAGAATAGTAAATTTGTATGGCACAAATCTATTTAATCTCGTTGACTTGTATATTGATTCTATTAGATAAGTTTTGAAAGTTAGCACTTGTTTGTTCTGTGTAGTTTTATTCTTTATTAATTTTCACATGATAAATATTATATTATTTAAAAATGTATAGTTATATGATGTTTTCTTAAGTATAGAGCACTTCATACGATTTATGATATTTAACTAGCATTGTGCATGTTATAAATTATTCTGTTCAAATTTGTTTTGTATCAAATACTGTCACATTTTACTAGTATATCTATCCTTAAATTTGGTAATTAAATTTACATTTGTAATAATATTAGTATTCGTTTGATTATTATCTATTACAGATTAATATACGCTTCTGCTCTCTTGTTCTTTAAATATTTTAAATGGCTAATTTAAAAGAAGCTACTAGTGTGAAACCTAAGAAATTTAATGGCCTAAATTTTGAATGATAGCAAAAACAAACAAAATATTGGTTGACCGTGTTGGGTCTTATGTCTTCCATAGAAGACCAAGATTTTGTTGGGTATTGGTTGTCACCCTAACAAATTGAATTTCTTTGCTATAACAAGATCCTTAGCGTTTTGTTTGACCATTTGTATGATGTGTATCACCACCTTGACTGCAAAAAAAACTATGGAAAACTTTAGAGGCCGAATATGAAATTGTTGATGCTTGTATTGATAGGTTCATTATCTCTAACTTTAATGGTTATAAAATGAAAGATTACAAACTTGTAGGAGACCAATTACATGAATTTCAAGAACCACTTAGGGGAGTAGAAAAGAAAGGGACAATTTTTAATAAGGAGTTTAAAGTGTCTTACCTTATTAATAAATTACTCCCATCTTGGAATGACATTGCTAAGCGTCTTAGGCACAAACAATAAAATTTGTCATTAGCTCAAGTAATAAATACATTTTGAGTAGAAGGAAAACATAGATCAAATCTAGAGATTGAAAATGAGAAAACTCCTAAGGTTTATTTGGTGGAGAGTGATAATAAAAATAGTTTTAATAATAGGAACAACTTCCGACCTAAAGATAGAAATTTCAAGAACAACTTTAAGTTTAAACCTAGAGGTCAAAATGAAAAACACCATAATAAAAACTATCAAGCCAATGCTAATAATTCTAAGGAACAAGGGAGTCGCAAAAGGTTGTGCTATGTGTGTTGGAGAGCCAGTCACTATTGTCACGACCCCAACCTACCCCTAAAGGTTGGAATGGTGATCGGCCAATAATCCTTGCTTATCAAAGGCCTGCCTTAACAAATCACAAAGGACTAATATATATAGGGCTAAACAGCGAAACTTCCATCGTTTAATCATAAGTCCAAAGAGCAGTGCATAAGTGATATGAGGGAACACACATCTTTATTGTTTATTTCCTGTATAATTTACATCATTTACATATACAAAAAGAAAAGTATAACATAACATCCATAAGTATATAACTTGCTTAAACATAAAAATCTCATCTTTCAAAAACTTCCTTCCCACAAAAGAGCAAAAGAGACAAAAGAAGAAGAAATTAAAAAGAAACTTCATAACGTGTCCATGTCCACTAATGATGCTCCTCCTCCTGGTCACCTACATATATATATATATATATATATATAAGAATGAGCCATGCCCAGTGAATAATACTATTGTAAGGTGGTAATGAATGAATTCCAAGTTCATAACAAAGGTTTAATTCTATTTACATTCAGACATTTCATAAGTAAGCATGATGCATGGTACATCCATTAGGACTACTTAATGGAATAAACGGCTCGGGTACCAATTAAACAATGCCACATCCTCTGGTGGCCAAGAGATCTCAAATAGGTCATGGACCATGTTGCCGTCCTCCATGACTTAGGACTAATCTAAGGATGCCATTAATAATTTTAAGTAAAATAGAGGACATTTATTCATTTAGAGATAGAATAGAAATTTCATAAGCCATATAACATTCATAAGCTTTTCAAATCAATTTTTAACATAACATTACAATAAAATTACTCACAGATGGCTCGTGTTCGGTAGAATCCCTTAATGACCTTGACCTACACTATAGAATACGAATACTAATGATAAATTATTGTATCTATGGAGAGCTTATAGACAGAACACTTCAAAGAAAAATTCTTAGTACAATGCTGCACAGCCCAATTGATCTCATCCACCCATTTATCATAGCCATGCTTTGCCCAGCGTATATTCCAACTGTTGGGGGCTGCCTTAATTGGCTGCTAATAATCAATTTTGTTACCGTTGAAGCATGTCTACTACCCATGTCATGGTTGGCCTTGCATCTTTTTCTTCCTCTAGGCATTGCAAAGCCACTTCAACCAGTTTTTCCACTTTACCGGCATCATATGCACCATTCAGCAAAGGATCTACGATTTCATCAACCCACAATGTCATTGGAGAACCTCTGTTCATCACCTTCTCCATAACCCACTTTACCCACGTTGTCTCTTCCATCCCTCTATTGCAGAGGGAGTTAAAACCGGTTGTTGGGTTCTTTCCAGTCACCAACTCTAACACCACCACTCCATAGCTATAAACATCAACTTTGGAGGTGATTGGGAGACTGAAAATCCACTCAGGAGCCATGTAACCTCTAGTCCCCCTTATCCTAGAGGAGAAGTTGGAATTGGAATTAACACTGCCTCTGTTCACCAGCTTTGATAGGCCAAAGTCTGCTACCTTTGGCTGGAAATTTGTGTCCAGGAGTATGTTTTGGGGCTTTACATCACAGTGCAAGACCCATTCCAGGCACTCTTCATGCAAGTAAGCAAGGCCTTTTGCAATGCCCAAAGCAATTTCAAATCTTTTCTCCCAATCAAGTGTATTGGAAGACAAGTTGTCTGCCAAGGACCCGTGTTCCATATACTTGTACACTAAAAGCCTGTGCTTCCCCTCCGCGCAATACCCCCACATCTCTATCAAGTTCATGTGGTTAAACTTCCCAATTGTGTTTGCTTCAGCTAGGAATTCTTCCTCTCCTGGGCAATTAGCTTGGTTGAGCTTCTTGATTGCTGCGATACGATGATCATGATTATCTGGAAATACACCTTTGTATACCACTCCTCCTCCCCCTCTTCCTATCTCTTCCCTGAAACCTCTTGTTGCCTTTTTTAGTTCCTCGTAGCTGAATTTTCTGAATCCTGTTGCAGCGACTATGGGGAAGTAGTATTCGTGCTTTGCAAGAGAGTTTTTATGGGTTCTGTACAAATAACACGATACCAAAGAGACGGTGATCATCTCCAACACTCCCAATACACAAGCAAACCAAAGCAATTGTTCCCACGAACCATTTTGATTCCTCTTCTCATAAGTTCTATTCAGCTGCTTCATGGCCTGGCCTGAGCAATTCCATTTGAATTTGAAATATGTAAAAAGAGGCTCTTTTTCATGAATGATGGACATGAGAGCATTGGGCATTTTCACATACAGCGTTCCAACAAAATTAGGCGAATGGTGTCCATTACGAAATGCCCATTTAGTGTAGCAGTCGTAAACTCCATTGTCCTTTTTAAATCTGTAATGGAACCCTTTGCAATTACACGACTCCAAGCATTTCTTCTCACACCTCTCTAAAGTGTAATTTCGTAGGATGTGGATGTTATACCCATAAAAATCAGTATGAGGGAGTTTTAGGAAGGTGGTTGGACTTCGATTACCACCATTGCACGAGAGATTGAATTCTGGTTCACATCCATCAAACCAATCTTTAGGATTTCTCATCTTGAACCAAGGGAGGCAAGAGCATTTTCTACCAGAACTTGGATCAAAATTGCATATGCTGTTGGGTCCACAAGCTCCATGAATCCTACACGGTCTTGACATGGCTTGCCATGAAACAACCCAATTCCCACTGGTCTCTTCTAAGCTGTACAATCGAAGATCACCGTCAAAATCAAGTGTTAATCTTCTCTTAGGCCCTCTCCCAAAATCAGCCCCTTTAGACTCAAATCGATCAGATGACATAAAATGGCCCAAGGAATCAAACACAGCAATTCTGGTGTCATTGTACCTTGACCTGTTAGCTTCATTGCTCAACAGCCATGGGTCAGGCCAGTAAATGCTAGATGTCTCAGGACCATCAAAGACTAGACGAAGCACGTTATCACGATCGAAGATGAGCTTGTAGAAACCAGATGAATGGTTAGCCTCGCTCCTCTTGGAGACAAGTTCTGTGTACCTTGTGAGAACTTGATTAGGAACAAGGGTGTCAGTTGGTGAATCAAAACTTTGCCATAAATTAACACCACCCTCCAAATCATTGAGCACTAGATTACCACTGTTTTGGAGTTGCAATTGTAGTGACAACGATGATGATGCAGTGTTGGTGGCCCAAAAGATGGACCACCTGTTATTAGCATCAGTTAAGATGAGATTACCATCTTTGAGTAGGGAGAGTTTTGAGAGCCTTCCATTTACAGGTTGATCTCTGTTTGCCATCCAAATTACAGTAGTGTGATTCTGTGTTGTTTTTGTGAACCAAATGGCAAAGCTGTAAGCATTAACACCCACAGGGTGAAAACCGGCTGAGAATACACCGTTGGGTGAAATCAAAACATGGTCTGGTTTCTCTACGGAAAGAGATGAGCTTTTACTTAGGCTATGAGATGGTGAAGATGATGTTGGAGAAGATAGAACCAAATACAATGCCAGGAAGACAAACAATGTAGCCATGACCCTATGCCAACATATAATTCATATTATCTACTTGTACCATATAAAATTATTGAACTCTTAAATCACTTAAAAAATTCCATAGAGAGAAGAATGCATATTCAACTCAAGGAGGGATCGGTGGTTATAGCCTCTCGTCCAGAACGAATTGGCCATCTCAGGTTATAGTCTCTCGTCCAGAACGAACAACAGAGCGCCTTAGTGAGCTCAATACACGGGCGTTCCCTTGGACTTACGGCAAGACATGAGGATTTCCCTGTAACAAAAAAAAAATAAAAAAATAAAAACTCCCAAACCTACCAAGAATATATATATATATATATAGTGCATCCACCCATGTTGACATTTTTTCCAATCTTATTAAAAGATGGAGATGTTTCTGTTTTCACTATTTTAGGTTAAGTTTGAAATATAAATTTAGATAGAGATTTAGAAAAAAAAAAAAAAGAAGAAAGAACAAAAAATTAAACTTAAATTTCATTTATATGTCTTTATGGTTTTGTTTTTCGAAGTACAATTTAAATTTGAGAAAAAAATACATATTCATTGTAATTTCAAAAGTTAATTACTAATGCATGAAAATGTAAAATGTATAAAATTTAGGGGGATTTGGTGATAGCCCCCTCACTATCTAATTTGTCTTTCAAAAGGACAAGAATTATATAAGTACTTTCAAAACCCCCTGATATTTTAAAACTTGTTTCTTTTACTATATTACCCTCATATCTATCAACTCTTCTATTAAGCCATCTTCACTATGTATTTCAGAGTAAAATTTTACTTTTATACAGAGTAAAATTTTACTTTAGTTTCAGAGTGTAAAATTTTACTTTCATACAGAGTAAAATTTTACTTGGCAAGTTGTTTGATGTCAAAGTAAATGTTTTATACTTTGTTTTGGGCTTGGGATTTAATTCTCTAGAATGTCTTGGATGTCTATAACTTAAGCTTTTATGTTTATGTTGGTTATGGACTTAGACTTATGTGTGTAGTTTTTCAGAGTAAAATTTTACTCTGGTTCTGTCAAATGAAAAAAACAGAGCAAAATGAAATTAGATCAAAAACAACAAAAATAAATAAAAAAAAAAACAAACAAACAAAAACAAAATAAATTAATCAACAAATCAACATATCTAATTGAGAAGAAACACTTCTAAAACTCCATCAACAATCACAAATCCCAATGAAAATAATACATGTGTTCAACAACACTCATACACACAAATATATATATATATATATATACATATATTCTACTGTTCCTCATCCACATCCTTCCCAACCTCCTGTTCAACTTCTTTCAATCTCGAAGCTTCAGCCTTCGCATTCAACATCGCAAGCATCTCATCAACAACCTCATCATGTTTCTTCTCCGCTTCCAATTGAGCCATCTCCACCACACTCCGAATCTCCCCCATCTGCTTCGAAACCCTAGCTTTCAAATCTCCAAAGAGCTTATTCAGATCTTGAGACAAAGAGCTTATTCCTTAGGTGCAAACAACGAAGCCATTGATTGAGGATGAACTTTTGCTATTTTGATCTTCTTATTGTTTCTATGGAGGCATTTGCTACCAGATCTGGTCACTCCGACCAGATCTCCTTTGAAACCCTAGCCATGGAGTCATCATCTATGTATATGCAATAGTTGTATCAGACGAAGCTTGAGAGATTGAGATTGTGATTAGGGAAGATTTAATTGAGGGTATAATAGTCTGATAAAATATTTAAATAATAAATTTTGTCCTTTATATAAGACTTTATAATTATGAGGGGGTTTTAAAAGTATAATTTTTTTCTTAGTCTTTTTAACAATAAAAGGAAGATAAAGGGGGTTTGTAGCCAAATTTCCCTAAAATTTACCATTAATTTAATTTTTATTTTCAAAATACCAAATGACATGTTACTCCTTAAATTTATGATCCAAAAGCAACATAGAATCGGTGGAATCGGTGGGATGCTCGAGCAGGCAAGAAAGATTCAAAAAAAGTAGCTGCTCTGTCGTATTTGTCCGCTGCTTCACTCGAATCCCTAATGCTGTGTTTGGTTGGGGGATTTGGGAAAGGATTTGGAAAAGGAAATGGAAAAGGTAGGTGAAATGTGAATAAATCATGCCTATATTTCACATAGTTTCACACACCTTTTCCCTTTTTCTTTCCAAATACCTCCCCAAATCCCCCAACCAAACACAACATAAGAGTGATGTGGAGAGATGAAAGGTTCAAGGAAGCTGCTTCAACGGGTGATCCTTCGAAAGAGTAAGTACAACGAGGGTGATCAAAATGTCAATTCGGAGAGAGGAAGATCGACTAGCCAACCAAAGTGGAGGACCTCCTTAAGATGGGGGGATGGTTTGACCACTTATAGGAATGTTCTTCAATAGCGCACCAAATGCGGGCAGTAAAGCAGTGCGCTAGAAAGAAAAAGGAGTAGAGGGAGTTGATTCCCAATTAAAAAGCTGAAAGGCAAAAAAAGAAAAAGGAGGGTCTTGTCTTCAAAGGGGACCAGGTCAGCCATAGCAATAGGCAACAAGTTATGCTTCACTGTTAGGTAAAATAATAGAAAAATTAATAAAATGTCTCTTTTTAACTTTTAATAGTAGTAGAGATCTAATACGTTTTTTCTTATTAGTTAAGATTTCTTAATAATATTATTAGAGAAATTTCAGCTTATCATAGAAAAAATTTCTCTGTGATAAGTTGAAATTTCTCGTTAAAAATGTTGACGGACCCCAACTATTATCAAAATGTTACATGTCATTTATCTTAAAAAATCTTAACAGCAAAGGTAAATTACACCAAATTTCTTTGAAATTTGGAAAAAGTACAACTAGTTTCACATTTGTTACATAATCACACCAACCTCCTCTTTAATATGATTAAAACAACTAAAACTAATGTTAATGGTGCACAGATACTGAAATAAATAAAGATAAATATATATTTTAGTTAAAAGTAAATGAACTTATTGGTAAAAAAGAGTTTAAGGGTTAGGTAAATTAAAATCGTGAGAGAGATAAGAGCACCTCTACTAGATATTTCAAATATGATGTGACACTCTAATATTCATATTTTGACATTAAGTTTGGCATCTTCTAAAAAATTCAAAAAGTTAAAAAGTCACTATCCTATTTAAGTCACATCATCTTATTTAAGTCACATCACCTCTCTAACACATCACTTCAAACCCAACCCAAACCCAACACATACTTGGTACACTCGGCCCCGCCCCGCCCCGCCTCGCCCCGTTGCCATTCCTAGATAGATAGCAACATCGGATGTTGTGAAATTTATACAGAAGCACATGTTCCGTCTGAGGCCTGTATAAAGCATGTAGATAGTTCAAATGAAATTAGATTCAACAAAATTAAGTTTTTTTTAGATCAATGTGAAGAGTTCATAATTTAGTCATATTATTATAAGTATATAGGGTAAATTACATTTACCTCCCCTGAGATTTCTGACAAATACAGGGACCTCCCTTGTGGTTTGAATAATTACAGTAACCTCCCCTACTTTACCTGACATTGTACAGATTCCCCCATTTTTTGACTTCCGTTCACAAAACTAACAGAAACTGCTGATGTCATCAAAGATATACGTTGAAATGTCTATAATGCCCTCAAGTATCTTGTTGAGAAAACCAGAGAGGGATGGAATCTGTACTGTCGTTTTTGTAATTTATCTAAAGAAGACCTTTATCAAAAGAAAACCACAGGAAATTTTGTTTAAACACATGAAAACATTTTTTGAAGCCACATGGGAACAATTTGTTTCCCATATTTGTATATGTATATATATACAAATATATAAACATGGGAACAATTTGTTTACCAAAAGTATGTTTATATATATACATATATTTTTATATATATACATATACACTTGTTTAGATTTTCAACAAAGAATTGAAACCCATGAAAATATATTTTGATTTCTAGCAAAGAAAATAAAATCTAATTAAATTAATTTCTAAATTTGTTTAACAAATATATGTATATATACACACATTCAAACATGGGAATAATTTTTTTTCTTCTAACATATATATATATATATATATACAAATATATAAACATTGGAACAATTTGTCTACCAGATGTATGTTTATATAAATACATATATTTTGCATATATACATATACACTTGTTTGGATTTTTAGCAAAGAATTGAAACCCAACATATATTTATATGTATATATTTCGCTGTCTGTTTGGATTTCAAAAATCAAACATTATAGGGCACATTCTAAATCTACATTAACTAATCTAAAGCAAAAATTTGAACCTTGGGATGTTTTCTCATGAGTCCACTAGTGTCCTGTGTTGAAGACAAGGATGTCTGCATTTTTATATCTATCAGATGACCTCTCAATGAGATCAAGCCGAAGCGTTTCTTTCGTTGATCCATTTGTGTCTGGCATTTCCCATTCTTGAACCAAAAAGGAAGATCGAAAGAATTCCACTGAAAAATTATAGTCCTGTTCACACATCAGATCCAAAATCAGTAGAGAAAATTCATTTGGCAAGAAATATTAACTTGATAAAAGGACCAGTACTGCTTAGTTAGCTCTTGTAACTACTTCTCTAGCTTATGAAAGCTAACATCAATGTTGATTTTCACATACAAAAAACATGTACTCCCAAGAATGCAAAGCATAGAATACCCAAATCAAATACAAAAATGGAGAATGAAAAGCAAGAACCTACTGTGAATAGAAATGAGTATGAACCCTCTGTTCGGAATTGTTCTCTACCAGAGGCTTCAAAGACTTTGCTCTTATCTTTAACCGAATTTCTCAAGTACAAACCATTGACTCCCAGATATTTCTATTCAGAGAATCACCTACATACACTAACCGTTTTCCTCTCTCTCCCTGGTGTTTCGATCTGATGAGATAAGAGAGAACAAAAAATAAAAATAAAAATAAAAGTTGAATACTACAATCAAAGGGTATTTTTGTTTTTTTACGCTTAAATAAAAGGGTAATATGATCATTTTGTATACAAAAGTAACGTCGTTTGTGTATAATTGACGGATTGGGGGAATTTGTACAATGTCAGGTAAAATAAGGGAGGTTACTATAATTATTAAAACTACAGAAAAAGTCTCTATATTTGTCAGAAATCTCAAGAAAAGTGAGTGTAATTTACCCTTCAAATTATGATGTTAGGTAAAATGATCAGAGTGTCCATACTAAAACCAATAAAATAAAGGGCAAATTACATATACCCCCCTCGAGGTATGGTTAAATTACAGATACCCCCCTGAGGTTTCGAAAATTACATCCCGCCCCCTGAGGTTTGTATTTTCATAACAATTTGCCCCCTGAGGTTTATATTTCATAACAAATTACCCCCTAATTTCTTATGCAAATATAGCATTCAGGGGGGAATTCGTAATTTCTCAAACCTCAGGGGGATATCTGTAATTTAGCCAAACCTCGAGGGGTGTATATGTAATTTGCCCTAAAATAAAAAGGTCGTCAATGACGTAGCATTGCCACCGCCAACCTTTGTTGACTAGTGATACAAGGTCGTCAATGACGTAGCATTGCCACCGCCAACCTTTGTTGACTAGTGATACAAGTATATTACACTATTTTTTTATTTGTAATAAGCGAAAAAGTACATGTTAGTTCAGTGGTTAGGATAGGAATTTGGATCATCGGCCGCCCTACCCGGCAGCCCCCCAAAACGACGTCGTTTTGGGGGTTTTTTTTTTTATTTTGGTTGGAAAATTTGCACCTTTCTGTACACATTTCAAATTTGTCCAAACAAATTCAACTAGAAACCCTTACCTATTTAATTTAAATTCAAACAGATTTGTATCTGTTTAATTTAAACCAAACAGGTACTATACCTGCTAAATTCAAATCTAAAAGGCACATTTACACCTACAAATAGACTAGTCCTTCATTTAGTTTTTCATTCAATATTTTCGTTCTAAATTCTGTTATTACTCTCTGCATTTTGCTGCATTATTTTCTTGTGAGAAAGTGTGTAAACACAAAGTGTGTTCATTATGCGAATAATTTGTAGTGCTACTATTATTTGTAGTTGATCATTTTATCCTAGGAGATAGACGTCCACAATCTGAAAGCACCGTAGAGATGACAAATTTGTCTTAAGATTGTTAAGCAATCCTTTCCTTTTCTTATTTCTTCTGTTTGTTGTTAAGTACACAAATATAATTTATTCGTAATACAGTGAAGATTGTTCAACAGTATATTGGCCCCGTTTGGTGTAGCTGTTAAAACAGATTATAGATTATACCTTAACAGATTATAGATTATGACTTTAATCAGAAGTTGTTGATCTGTTTGGTGTAACTGTTGGATTATAGATTTAAGTTGCTGAGTAGTGTTTGTTAAACAAGCTGTGAGGTAGCTTTTTCAATTAACTTTTATTTTTTGTTATTCACTATTTATCTACATTTCTTATAAAAAATAATAATAATATTCCATAGTTCATCTGGGTCTTTTTCTATTTTTTAAAAAATAAAAAATAAAAAAATTTAAGAGTATAACTATAAATTAATATGTCCACAGCAGAAATTGATAATCAGAAGTAAGGGATGATCAGTTTCTTAGAATCAACTTTTTTGACTTAAAATAAGTTATTAACTGTTTGAAATAAGTTTAACCAAACAATTTAAAATAACTTTTCAAAATCCAAAAGTTATAAATTGACTCAAAAAAATTCCAAACAAACACCACCATAGTTGATAGAGATGAGAGAGATGAGAATCGCTACGTCAAGAATTACTTTAATTTTTTATATGAGCTAAATAAAGGGTAAAATAGTCTTTTTCACCCTTCAGTTAGATAGCTTCTTTCTTGCCTCAACTACAGTGAAACTACTAGACTTTTTTCGTGAAACAGGCTAAAATAGCCCCACTCACAGATTGCCAAACGCCACCAGAGTTTCAACATCAATTCATTTTTTTATTTTAATTTTTTATGTATCTATGCCTAGATATTTCTTTCGTCATAAAAAGACGATTATGCCCTCGTGTGTGTCTTTTGGTTTGCTTTTGTTTTGACAAACTAAATTAAGATGTGGAAGGAATGCTTCCACGTGGTCTGACTTTTCTTACTTTTTTTTCAACAAAATATTAATGCATTAAATTAAAAAGATAAGTCGAGTACATACAAAACAAAAATAAGGGGGCACACTAGTTCCTATTCAAAAAATGGTACAGAAATAAAGGGGAATGGTGTATAAATAGAATTTCTTGCAAAAGGGGGTTGCAACAGTTGCAAGAGCATTAGCCACATGATTGTCCTCTTGATAGATATAGGGATGGCAATTTGAAACCGGTTTGACGGGAATCCGACCTCCCGTTCCCGATAAGAATGATTCGGGGATGGTATTTAAAAACAAATCCCCGATGATATTCGGGCTGGGGACGGTGATATATATTTCATCCCCGGCCCCGGCCCCGCCCCCCGCCCCGGTTAGCCCCGATTTATATTATATATATATATATATATGTTTGGGGTTTGATTTGGTACACAGCAGCTCTACTCTCTTTATATATTATATATTATATATATAAAATATATAACTTTTTTACACTCTCTTTCTCTCATCTCTTCTCTCACTCTTTCTTCTCTCCAGTGGCGATGGCGAGTGCGACTCGTCTCTCTAGTGGCGACGACGCGATCTCCTCTCCCCAGCGACGACGGCGAGTGCGATCTCCTCCGCGGCAGTACGCACACCCGGCGTCATCTCCTACTCCGACGTCATCCCATCTCCTCCACACCACCGCAGATCTTACATCTCACATCTCAGATCTGAAAAGATCAGATCCCATCTCCGAATTGAGTGGTTCCTCCGCTATCCTCTCCCTCCTCCCAGATCTCGCTGATCTTACTGATCTGTAACAGATCATCTCTATCTTTTTATTTATTTATTTATTTATTTTTTTTGTTGATGATGTTGTGTTTATACATCTCTATCATCTCTATATGTTTTGTTTATACATGAGCTCCATGATCTGTAACAGATCATCTCTATCTTTTATTTATTTATTTATTTATTTTAATGATGTTGCTGTTGCTGCCTTGAATCGATGATGTTATTGAAGATTTTTTTTTTTTTGATGATGTTGCTCCGTTAATGTCTTTGTTGATGACTTTTTTTTTTTGATGATGTTGCTGAATGATGTTGTTGATGATGAGTACGGGGATTTTCCGGGGTCGGGGAAACCCGATCCCCTTTGGGGACGGGAGTGGGGGGAGTGATGAGTTCCCTGTCGGGGATCGGGGCCGGGGACGGGGATTTTTGTAGTTTCGGGGATCGGGGACGGGGAGGGTGATCCTCGGCCCCGCCCCGCCCCGCCTCGCCCCGTTGCCATTCCTAGATAGATAGCAACATCGGATGTTGTGAAATTTATACAGAAGCACATGTTCCGTCTGAGGCCTGTATAAAGCATGTAGATAGTTCAAATGAAATTAGATTCAACAAAATTAAGTTTTTTTTAGATCAATGTGAAGAGTTCATAATTTAGTCATATTATTATAAGTATACTCAATCAGGCAAGCAAAGTGTTGGTTGTATAAATTGCAAAAAGTCAATCACAATTTAATACGTAGCATGAAGAGGATAATTTAAAAAATTAATACCAGTTGCTAACCATAATCAGACACGTGTCAACCTATATTGATAATAATGGGTCTGCGTAACACTGGAACGATCGATGGATATAAGGTGATGTGCGTAATTATTACTCACAAAGTTCAAATTCAAAATCAGGAGGGAGGCCTAACTGTAAAGGTGGCGTAGTGGGACTAACTGTGAGAGAACATGTTCAGCAATCATGGGAGGACATTTCGACGGTTAAAAGCCCACTTCGACGGTTATCATTGAGAAGTATAAATAGCAAAGAAGGCCCTAGAGTGAAGGCATCCAGACTTAGATAAAAAAACTAGTTTTATTTACTTTGTTTTCCCTTCTAGTTTTTGCAGTTCTTTACATTTATGTACTTCAAATTCCTATACTGCACTTCATTCATAGGAGTAGTTTCAAATAGTTTGTTGTTATAAACCTCTACGAGGCTGGGTCATATCATTGTAAGTTTTTCATTTTACTTAATGAAATTCTGAAATTATTCTTCACTTAGTTGTTATTTACTAAATTCTCCTAAACAAGCCACCAGTAAAAGTCCTCTTTATTGAGGCTGAAAGAACTAAAACACAATCGTCTGATAATTGGTTGGCAATTAATGTTCTGCAAGAACTGATTGATCTTTGCTGGCACGCTTAAAATTACAATACTAACATTCGAAAGCCAAAAAAGTCAACATATATTTTTGACAAGCCCAGTGGGACTAATTGAAATGGCTAGACATGGGAGACAAGGAGAAAATGAACGCCTGGAAGAAGGTGTGGAAGGAGAGGTAGAGGTACCTGATCCAGAGGATAATGGGATAACACATTCTATGAAAGCACTTATCTCATCAGAACCTATGGTCGAACAGACCAGTAATTTAGAACATACACCACATGTTCAAAATATTGGACGAGGCCATGGAATTGGACCATCCACTGTTTCATCTACTCAGCCAATGAATCCATAGAGAGGCCTAGTAGATGCCATGGGACAACAGTTAATGAACACAATGGAAAGATGGGCAATATCTTTTATGGATTGGATGAATGCCCATCAACCAACTAACACAAGGCATATGGAGGAAAATTTAAATGTTCCTCAGCAAAGATTGGCTAGAGATAAACAGCCTATGCAAAGTAATAGACATACTAATGGTCAGACTAGTAATCAAAATTTTAAAAGACCATCACCTATACCTCAGTCTTGGTATGAGCCTCTTTCGAGGCCTATGGTAAATCAAAATGCC